CATTGTTTAACAGCTATTCATTGTACTTTGCTCAGTTAATTTCATGTGACACTAGCGAATACCCGGCGTGCTTCGCTGCGCCTTAAAAGTAATTTTGTTTTGTTACTCCCTCTCACAACATTTGAAAATATTATTTAATATTGCTGTACATATTTGTATAGTAGGGAGATTTTTTCAAATTATATAAATATACGTTATTTGAATATTGAATCAATACACGTTTGAGGAAAGGGTGCGATAGTAGACTCCAGTTATAAGATTATAAATTAAATTTCCAAGAGAAAGTCGGTTCTTTACATATTTTCTAATTACCTTCGAAAATATATTAACTCAAAAAAAAAATAAACAATGCTTCATAGATCGATTTTTTTAAATCTAACTTCATAAAGTTCTTTAAAAATATTTTGTAAATGAGGCCATAAGAGCTTAGGGGGAGAGTTACAACACAAAAATACATTTAAGGCGCAGCGAAGCACGCCGGGTAATTGCTAGTTAATTATAATTAAGATAAGTATTTAGAGTTGATTTAATCCAAGCTCAGGTAAGTTAAAGCCAAAATATAAGTAAAGGTAAGTATCCTGAGTAATTATAACTAGGAGGTAAATTTATGGAAAGTACGGTGAAGGTAAGTCAGGTCGGTAAGCTTGGTAGCAAAATCAGGTAGGAAAATCCGGTAAGTATATTACAAAAACAATTGAATTGAGTTAAGCAGGTATGGGTATGTATATATATAGTAGGTCACGTAAGGATATTAACAAAAGTTAAATTAAGTAATGCGGGTAAGTATAATCAGGTATTAGGGTTGCGATTTCGTTTTAAGTAGTTAAGGATTTTCATTTAATTTTCTATTTCTTCTGTTCTATCTTTTGGTTGTATAGCGTTTTGGTTTCCGTTTTATATTTTCACGATTTCATTTTAAATTTTTTTATTTTTTTTTTTTTTATTTCGTTATATTATATTATGGTGGCCATTTTCTTTTATTGTATTTATGGTTATTTATTTAAAATTGGTTTTATAGTTGAATTTTTGAATTTTTCGTTAAGCTTTTAGTTTAAACTTATTTTTATTTCAAATAAATTTGTATTTTATTTTATTTTAATTTAGTTCAGTTTAAGTTGATTTTATTTAACTCTATTTAATTTAATTTACGTGATTTAGTCAAATGTATATATATATTTCCACGCGTTAGCCTAAGTCTATTTCATATATATAACCATGTACATGCAGGTATACAGGCATTTACATATATGTATACCCCAATGTCGTAAACAGGGTGTGATTGACAACTCAGGTAGGCTCTCTTTTAAGATACTATTATGCAAAAGAAAGATATGAACAAGCGATTCAAAATTCATAACAAAATTTCAAATTGACGTTACAGCATGGTTCTTCTGAGAGCCATGTCAAATTCAATCACACTTTGTTAATACATTTCGGTCCTACTTCTAATTTCTTAAAACTATTGTTCTTGGGGGTTTACCCCTTTCTTTTCTTTTGCTTTAACTAGTTTAAGCTTACTAGTTAGCTTACTGAGTTTTTTTTTTTAGTATTATTTATTATTATTTTTTTTTATTGAAAAAAAAACTTAGTTTAGGCCCGAAGGACTCACCCTTGTTGCAGCAGGCTTGGATGTGGCCTGCTGTTGTTGTAGTCGCTGGGGTTGTGCGCTGTTGTTGCTGGTGTTGAGCGCTGTTGCTGTTAGCGTTGTGCGCTGTTGCTGTTAGCGTTGTGCGCTGTTGTTGTTGGTGTTGCGCGCTGTTGTCCACGCTGCTGTGGCGGGCATTGTTGCACCCGCTGCTGTGGCGGTTGTTGTTGTGGATGGCTCGGTGTTGCTTCCGCGCGTTGTTGCACCCGCTGCTGTGGCGGATGTTGTTGCCTGCGCACGTTGTTGCGCGTTTTATTTGTCGCTGTAGCGCGGTGCTGTAGTCGCGCGTTGTTGCACCCTGCTGTGGCGGTTGTTGTTGTCGATGGCGCGGTGTTGCTTCCGCGCGTTGTTGCACCCGCTGCTGTGGCGGATGTTGTTGCCTGCGCACGTTGTTGCGCGTTTTATTTGTCGCTGTAGCGCGCTGCTGTACTCGCTACTGTGGCGGTTCTTGCTGCTTCCTATAGCGCGTGTTACGTGTGCGCTGTTACAGTAGCCGCTACTGTGGCGGCGTCGTGGATACCGTGCTGGGCGGTGTGCGGACTGGGGCAGTACCTGCAAAAGTGGAAATTAATTAACCGGGATTTATATCTTGAATAATTCCTAATGTATACAAAAGTAACAAAATTCATAAAGAGTTATCCACCTGCATCGCAAGGTGCGAGTTACAGCGTATAACACACAATTTGATGTCCGACATGGGGGCCAATTAGTAAAGTGAAGGCATTTTCCATTACTTCACATGAAATTAAGATTATATTTTAAAAGGTAACTAGATTCGTTTCCCAACCAAATTTTTCACTGTGAAAACTTTTCTCCACAACGTTTTGTGCCTGTGAAAAAGAAAACTTGCGCGATTTTCTCAAATCCTTTCCGGTGATAAAGAATATCATTGTCTTAACTCACAATAATTTACTAAACTTTTACTTGCTAGATGTTAACGGAATAGCATTTAATGATCGAGAAACGCTTAAAATGATAGAACGGATCGATAAAGTGAAAAAATGTAATTTTCACGCACATTGAACTTCTCTCATTTTCACTACACGTTTCGTAAAACCAGAATGGCTCCATGGTTTACTAAATCCTTCTATAGCAGGTCGATTTTAAGAAAAAAAAATATAAAAACACACTCCAGCGCAACGTTTCGCACGATTTCGGTAACCCCCCGACTTCGTAACCCGCTGTTCTTCTAACTATTTGCTTAGAATCTCACAGAAAATCATGCTTACCTAATCCAGTGTTAGCAGATAGAGGACTGTGCGTTGTATTTGCCACCCTGCGGTTGCGGACAAATGGATGTGTGTGCTGCTGGAGCGCCAGATTGGTTTCCTTGGTGTTGCCGTGGTGCTGCGGCTGCGGAGGGAGCGTGGAGTGCGATGGAGCTTCCGGCGCACAATAGTAGTGCGTCGGTCGGGCTTGGGCGCGCTGACGCGAAATTGTGGAGCACGCTGGTTCCTCTGGGCGCTTCTGGCGGGCGAGCAAAAGGCAACTGCGAGCTCGTTCTCGCAGCTTGCCGCTGTTGAGGTAAAGGTGTCGTTGTCCCGATGGTGCACGGATACGGGATGCGCCTTAGCTGCTCAAAACTCCCCGCTTCCTGCACTGCACGTTTTAGCAAAAAAAAAAATTGTTTTCGTTTTTGGTTTTTCTATTGTTTTAAATTTATTTTCCTTTTTTCCACTTTATCGCGTTAGAGCGATTTAACTGTTCTTTTTAGACACTTTTCTTTTAATTTTAATTGAAATTGTTTTATTTTTTCACTGCTTCACTTTAACCGGCTGAATGAAAATATATGTTTCATTTTTTTCCGGCTGTTCCGCACTTCGCTGTTGAATGACATACAAATGGCCGATCGTGGGGTTGCCAGCGGGTTTTTATACCTTTGCACTGCGGGAAATTAGTTATTCCCGTTGGAAGAATAACGGGCACTGCGTCATTTGGACTGGTTCCGTTACTCTTCCACCGGGAATTTGCCGCAGTGCAAGGAGGAATGTCAAAAGAATGTTCGAGGCTGTCCGGGGTTACCATGACCCCGTTGTGCAATTCCGAACCAGTTCATTTTTCACTTTTGGTTTCCATGCATTTACCAAGGCGAATTTATCTAAGGTGGTGTTACTAGCTCAGCTGATTTTATGTATGTGTTTCGCCGCACGGCTTCTGATATCAAATTGAAAAATTTTGTTTGAATTTCTACACACACTCTTAAAGATTTTGACAGTTTATGCCGCCAAAGCAAAACGAAATACAAGTAAATTTTTGTTTTTGTACTCCTGCTATCACCTTATATTAATTTGCCTTGGCATTTACTATGGTCGGTGGAACAGTTTTCGGGCGAAACTCAGGATAAGGCAGAATATTGTGGGGGGTAATAAGGAATGAAAATCAAAATGGAATCCGATAAAACAAAATAACGTCCGTTACTTGCAAGTTATAAAATAAAAGTAAATTTAACCATTTCAGCAACAGACGAAATAGAGCTTCTGCACGAGCGTTTGTTTGGGTTTTTCTTTTTTTTTTTCAACTGTCAAAATTTTTCTTTGCGTTTGGCACAGTAAAACTCAATTTATTCATACACCATGCCGAAAAAGTTACCGATTGCTACCGGCTCTATATCAGAATATTGATAATGTTGCCGCAAGAATGTTTTAGTACAAAGGAAAACGTAGCTGTCAAACTGCCAAGACACCGCAGTAGATGCCAAAATACAAGCCCTGATCTATATTGCTTCTATATTCTAACATTTGTGTCAAGATATAAACTCAATCCTGTGAAGACGGGCAGTTACAGACGGCTGTCACAAACAATCCCCAGCCTCCGCGGAAAGCGTCTATTAACCGAAAAAAAAAGTAGACGAACAGACCTGCTGGAACCAGTGACAATCGGTGACACTGTCCGCAAGGAACACAGCTATCGCAAAATGGCAGACCTTCCATGCAGTTTGGTTGTTGCCGTACGCTCTAGAAAAAGTATTAGATGGTGCAATTTATGGCACGCTACCGGGTGCACTATACGCCGAAGAATAAAGTATTTATATTTTGTGCGGCGAACAGTAACCCATAACAAAATATAAAAGATCAATACGTTGGTCTTTTATCTCTTAGTAGGATTTACTGATTCTGCATAAGACACATAAATTTTAGTGCACTTACAATGCATTGGTATCGGATGTATACAATGAAGATAAGAATACACATTTACGCATGTACACACACACACACATATATACGTAGTTAAGGAATTAGTATTAGAAAATGTATATAAGAAAGAAATATTCAATAAAGAGGTCAGATTAAATACAGCAATCTCACGGTGTACATTACGTATTTTTGTGATCGTCACTATCCCTCACCCGAGGTAAGAAGTGAAGTTAATCAAAAGTATAATAGTCTTATCACCCGGTTTCTCTTCCTTCTCAAATGCAACCTTACAAGGCAGTCGATTGACACAAATGTCAATATTTATCCAACCTTGTATTATGAATCATGCTCAGGAGTGAATATAACTACAACAACAACGACTACTACAACAAAAACCCAAAAAGGTTGGTTACTGTCTTTTAGTCTGTTCCTTTGAACTTCGGACTAAAACCTGTGGAACTGTCAAACTACAATTTTACTCTCTCAAGTGAGAGTAAAAGGGGAACAGATACAGAATAGCCATGGGTAATTGCGCAATTTTTTTGGCGCTAGCTGAATAACGCCAGTGCCACCTGTGGTGTCAGCGCACTAACCCAGCGCAATAGCGCAGTGTACTGAATTGAACACGGCGCCATCTGACTGTCACCACAGTACCCATCAGCATACAGTGCAGTACACCACATATTGTTGTCATGTCTATTATTTCTATAGGCGCTGAGCAACGCTTGTACCGCCAACTGAATTTAATTGCTAGGAATGCAGTAAATGCCACGATATTCTATCATTCTTGAGTAAAAGGGACAACTAAAGAATACTGACCTTTGAGCTAGAGAAAAAAAAGTGGGCGTGGCCCGCCGCCTTTTCCGGATTTTAACGGCATATTTTTGTTTTTGGTACAAATTGACAGGAGCTGCGATAGGGGGGCTAAACGTGGAATTTTCAACATTTTCAAAAACTTATATTTCGAAAACTATTAAACCGATTTTCTGAATATGGACACAGAACAGGAACTTTCATTCAATATGTATATCTTTGTATATAATGCAAACATATTTTGAGAAAAAGTAAAAAAACGGAATTATTTTTATAATAATGTATGTTTTTCGTAAAAACATACGTAATTAACTATATTAACAAATATATTTATTGGAAATATCATAAAAATACCTTTAATTTGGCGTGTAACTTTATAAAGTTAGGTTTAAGTACAACTGCGGTTCAATAGTTTTCAAAATATAAGCTTTTGAAAATGTTGGAAATTCCACGTTTAGCCCCCCCTAGCGCCGCCCCTGTCAATTTGCACCAAAAAAAAAGTTTACCATTAAACTCAGCAGAAGGGGGTGCACCACGTCCACGTTTTCTTTTTTCTATAGCTCAGGGGTCGGTATTCTTTAGGTATGCCAGTAAAAGCTTTAAATTTGCGTTATCAACACTCAAAAGCAAAAACAAAGTACGTGTACATTTTCAAAGAGTTAAGGCGAATTGTGTGTGTGCCTCATATGTTGCTTGGTGTTAATGGCGCTGGCGCTTTCCATATACTGGTATTGACGCGGCAACTCCGGCTACGGTGTAACGCAATTGCGCAACGCAGCGCAGTGTTACCCATGCCTAATGCGGAAGTGCACGGGAACGCAAAAGCACTATTTCCTGTAAAAACGTCAGTCGGTTTGTTTACGTGTCATTGGTGCAACACTGATTTGGCTGAAATATCACTAAATAATTATTAAAATCTATAAATATTCAAATATTTCGTTGTTTACTTCCATTCTTTTTACAAATATAAGATTCTTTGCTTTCACCGCTTTCTGTTTTTGTTTGCACATGCTAATCAGCTGATCGTTTGACACTTTTCATGAACTTAAGCTGTTCTTACACGATATGTATTTGCATCTGTATATGTGACTTTTTCAATACATATGTAATTGCGTATGTCTGTCAGATTCACAGTCTTTATTTAACTATTTAAAAATACGTTCTATGAAAACGAAATAAACTACTCAGATGATTCTTTCTGTGTGTCTGATGAAAATAGAAACACATCTATTTCGTATGTACGTGCATCTGCTTTATACAGAAACAAATCTAATTTGCCTTTACAATATATGTTGGCATTTCCATATGTAAAAAGTTGCATGTACAGATGCAAATACATATCGTGTATGAACACCTTCCTGTAACTTCTGACTAGGAACAGTTGCTCAGTTACTTTCTCAAAAGTGTTCCCACTTACAGGTTTTATGTCAATAGGAACGACTTCCTGTAAGTTCTGACAAAATCCTGTAAACCGGACTGCTATTGGAACAGACTAACTGTGGTTTTCATGTATGTACATATGTTTGAATGGTTGTACCAGGGTAGCCAACTCATTTTTGAGAAATCCCCTATTTCGGCAATGAAATTCCCCGATTTTGCCCCAAGTTTCGTAGAATTCCCCACCCATAGATATCTGCTTGTTTTCAGTTTATTTTATTTTGAAATGTAATGCATCTTTGTATTTATAAACCCAACTAAACTTTTATAAAGTTAGTTAACAAATAAAAAATAACAAATGTGCATATAATATTTACATACATATTGTTGTCGAAAAAATTTTAGTCGCACAATTTTTCTCAATTATTTTTTAGGTTATTTAATGAGTTATTTTTTATAAAAAAATATAGTTCATTCTTTAACAAAAACCATTATAAATCCAAGATTCATACTTTGCGAAAAATTGAAAAAAATCAACAAAACGGCAAAAATAGAAATGTCAAATGACAATTTGTAAATAGTGTTGCCATTGTTCTCTATTCGTTGCTGACTTAAATATTTAATAACTCAGGGTTGTATTATCAGTATCTACTTTTAGTTGCAACCTTTTTAACTCATTTTGAAAGAAAAGAAAAAAATTTGTTAACACCTAATTCCTCACAAAAAAAAAATTCATCCCCCGATTCCCCACGTAAACTGAAATTCCCCACAGTCCGTCCTAGGTTCCCCACGCAAACTGAAATTCCTTGCTATCCTATGCACATATGTTTGTGTACATATATACAGTGACGGGCAAAACTGTAACATGGTGTAACACTTTTTACTTCAGTCATCGCTATCTTTCCAAGTTCTAACGACTTTCATACTTTTCTTGTATGTTATTATTGGTACACCTGTACTTCCTCTCTCATAATGATTTGAAGTCAATCCAACAACAATAATAGAACCAGCAGACAAAAATGTAAATTAAGGCAGATGTTACAGTTTTGCACTCATATTATTTTAAGAACTTTTTAACAATTTTAACGAGAAAAAAGAACTACTAACACAACGGTCAGAACCCTTTTGCTTGTTTTAGTTTCTGGGTGCCATTTGGCATACCTTATTTTTATCTCTGTAAAACTAGTGGAGGTATATCCGCCGTATATCCTTATGGGCTGTTTTTGCTTACGCGTAAAAGCACATTTTGCGCATTTAGCTCTAAATGCTACTCTAAATGTACATTTATCCATACAAAATTCGTCACCTAAATGCAACTAAATGCAACTCCATTTTTGCATTAAGAATCTAAATGCTAAAAGCAACCCTGTGATCTTCCAAAATTTCCACGATTCGAACATGGTTTAATGAGAAAAAGTGGCAACATTGTATTTTCGAGTATACAGTGGCTAGCTACGTTTCAGTGATCGCCAACCGAGATTTCATTTATTATTTTACATTATTTGGATAAACAAAAGTTACGCAAATTCAACATCGATGTGATGCTGATAGAAATCTGGATCAATTTGTGATCAACTCCGATTGTTTTGTTTCCTAATTAAGTGAGGAACTTTTATTTGACAGCACCGACAAATGAATGTATACACAAACAAATTTTCGGTTATGGTTAAAACAATTCAATTTTTTCTATTGAATTTTTGGTTTAAAATTTATTTTTTCCTTTTCAGTAGGGTTTTTTGCACATTATCTTTTCCGTGAGAATTGATCGTAATA